AAAAAGAGTGAGACTCTGTCTCAAAAAAAAAAAAAAAAAAGTCTTGTAAGAGAATCTAAAGCTTTCCTCAAATGTTCAAAGGAGCAACATCTAGAAAAATATTAAGAGTCATTGCAGGAGTTCAAGACCAGCCTGAGCAAGAGAGCGAGACCCCATCTCTACTAAAAATAGAAAAATTAGATAGTTGTGGGGGCGCACGCCCGTAGTCCCAGCTACTGGGGAGGCTGAGGCAGGAGGCTCGCTTGAGCCCAGGAGTTTGAGGTTGCTGTGAACTAGGCTGACCGACGGGTGACAGAGACTCTGTCTCAAAAAAAAAAAAAAAAAAAGTCATTGCAGTAGAGGACACCTTTCACAGGGGCAGCATGGAGGGAACTCACTTTCTAGGAAAGGAAAAGCTGATTTACAGCTTTTTCTGTTGGAGAGAGGGGGAGGGAAGAGGGAGGGGGAGGGCAGTTAACTAGCTAACAGACTCCTAAATGTCCCAATGTCAACAAAAAGCCCTGAGATACACATTCCGCACTGATTATGGGAGACAGATCATACCCATGTTTGAAGTAGAATAAATCCGTAGAAATCTAAACTAGTCATATCCATTCTCAAGAAGTCCCAGAGCATCTCACGCTAATGCTTGTCTTCGCAGACCTTCCTGGCTTCTGTTACAGTCCCGAGGGGGAGACGAAAGCACTCTGCGGCTCTAAAGAGGGTTCTGCTCCACATCGGCTGAGAAGAAAATCTGGTAAATAGAACGTTGTCATCAAAATATAACACTAATGGGGGACTGGTGATGAAAGTCCTTTTCAGTCTGACCAAAAAAAAGGCATCTTCTGTCTGGTTTTGAGCTCACTGCCAGTTTGAACACATCTGAGGCTGCCTCAAGATGGAACTCTCGAGCTTTTGTTCTACAACTCTTTTCTACTGAACTCTCTTTTTCTTTCCCAGTGAATATAAAACATATCAACTAATTTTGCCTTGTATAGCCTCTTACTGCTGACTGACAGATACTTAAGCCCTATTTGCCTTTGCTAATGAAAAATCGTATCCTGTGACTGACACACCCAAAAGATGATCCAAACCTAAGATCCTAATTTACATTTGCTGCACCAGACTCCACGAGGTATTGTCTTGGCCCTCAAATGTTTGGTTTTATTTGAATCAGAATTTGAGTATCTATTCTATGCTTTGCTAAGGACTAGGAATGCAAAGATGAAAAATACATGTGATTCCTGCTTGCAAGGAGCTCATAGCGGGAGACACATGAAAAATATGAATAAATGCCAGTCTGTGTATGATGGGGCTATGGCAGAGGTTGGATGACAGAAAGAGGGAAGAGACAGAGGTTAACCCCCCCAGGAAGGAGAAGGGAGGCTCACAGAGCGGAGGACCAGTACCCCGATGGAATCTGCAGGCTGAGGAGAGGCGGATGGCACAGGGACAGCATGTGCAGAGGCCCTTAGGTTTGAGCCAGTGTACCTTAGGACGGACATCTACTGCCAGTGGTTCAGCCTGGCCAGAGTGAGGAATGGAGCTGGGGGTGGAGGAAGAGGTGGGTGAGGCGAAGTGCAAAGAGGTGTGGCTAGAGATGTGCAGATAGGAGCCTGATCTTGGAGGCCCAGTAGGCCACCCAGGGTTTTTGAACTTGATCCTGCAAGTTACCGAAGGATATTAGGCAATGAACTCTGAAAATGTTTGCCTTTAGAGGACAGAACTGTGGCTCCATGTGGGGAATGAAGTGGGCAGGGAGACCAGGTAGGAGGTGGTCCCGCTAGCACTAGTCCAGGTGAGAGATGAAGAAGGCTTGGATTAAGATGAGTGGGGGGGAATTACTGGGAACCCCCCAGGACAGTGATGGATGAAAACGGGAGGAGAAATGGAGAATGACGTCCTGGTGGCTAGCTGGGGAGGTATTCAAGAGAGGAGGTGCAGATGAAGAGGCAGCTTGGGAGGGGACAGGTGGGAGGAGATTGAGATATGTTGAATTTGGGAAAGCTGAAGCTTTATAGCCTCTGGCATAAAAATATACAATTGAAGCCCTGGTGGGGTGGCTCATGCCTGTAATCCTAGCACTCTGGGAGGCCCAGGCAAGAGGATTGCCCGAGGTCAGGAGTTCGAGACCAGCCTGAGCAAGAACAAGACCCCGTCTCGACTAAAAATAGAAAGAAATTAGCCAGACAACTAAAAATATATACAAAAAATTACCCAGGCATTGTGGCTACTCAGGAGGCTGAGGCACAAGGATCGCTTGAGCCCAGGAGTTTGAGGTTGCTGTGAGCTAGGCTGACGCCACGGCGCTCTAGCCTGGGCAACAGAATGAGACTCTGTCTCAAAAAATATATATATATATGTATGTGTAAATAATATACATATAAATAAATAAAATTGACAGTTATCAGCTTGTAGGTGGTAGTTAAGGCTAAGGAAGGTGCTTTGCTGGCAGTAGCATTGATACAGTTGGATTCTGCTTTTCTATGATGTGACTTCTGATTCCACAGCTTAACATTTATCCTACCATTTTGACTGGGTGAATTTCTTGCTCCTAAGTGTCTCTGAGCAATGGGGATTTAGGTAAATTTGATAGAAAATTTCTAGAGCTCAATCTGTCAATAAATAATTCATTTATAAAGAAAAAATTTTGATTCAGTTTTGCAAATGATGCTTTATTTTTTCTCCCAGAACCTTCCTCAAGAGCACATAAAGTTTTGAAAACCAGTGGTAAGTGCTAAAATATATTTTCTTATTTCATTCTTGTTTATATCCACTAAATTAAACCATACGTTTAAAAAAATACCAAATGAATTAGATTGACAGATTTGATTATAAGATTAACTTCTGTAAATAAGTGTCTCATTATAAAATATACAAATGACATAAGATATTTGTAACATAAATGACAGGCATAAAAAGATTAATATCCCTGTTATATAAAGAAACCCCATACATCACAAAAAACAGACAAAGGACTCTTTTTTAAAGCACAGAGAATATACTTGGGCAGCTTCCCAGAAGAAACACAAACTGCCAATGAAATTTTAAAATGGTCACCCATATTAGTAATCAGAAAAACATTTAAATGAAATAAATGGAGGGGGAAAGAGCTATGAGCTTGGACAAAACATATAGACAAATAGGCACTCCAGAACTATTGGTGGGAGTGTAAATGTTTGAAACATTTCAGAGCAAAATCAGTAATGCCCATTTGAATTTAAAGTGTGCAGATGTCATTCACCCACCAGTTTCACCTGCATAAATGTCCTTACCCAAATGTGGCTAGATGTATGTATGAGCTTCTTTGCAATATTTGTAACAGGAAACTCCATAAAATGCCCATCCAGTGAGAAATGGTTAAAGAAAATGTAGTACATCCATACACAAGATGAAATATTCTATAGCTGTTCAAAAGAACAGGAGGATCTCTACCTACTATAACAAGAGTGTCCACATAGTAATATATTTAGCAGAATAAACAATGTTGCATATTGCATCTTTATTTTAAAAACAATAATTTTGGTGCAGTGGGAACAGTGCAGGAGCTGGAAGGATGAACATGAAACTGTTCATTGTGGTTACCTCCAGGGGTTGGGATTCCTGGGGAGGGAAGTACTTCATGTACTTCTGTAATTAAACAGTTGTCAAAGATGAGACACACATGATCGGTCTGCCTGCAAGGATGTCTGTGAGCAGGTGGCCGTGTAACTCTCTTCCCGCAATTCCACTTGCAGCAGTCCTTAGCACAGCACCAGGGTGACCCTGTTGATTAAAAGGCTGCATCTTTCAGTTAAAACAAATAAAATGCCTAAAAATCAATAGAACCATAGTTGTCTTATCTTTACATGATTTTCATTGCTCAGGGCTTTTTTTTTTTTTTTAATCAGACAATGCATATTTTGTTTGGAAGTTTTTGAAACTTATTAACATGAATTAGTTCATTGCTCTCAGGGATTAAGGAAGATACCTAACCTCAGATACATACATAGTAAGGTGGTTTTATGTACAGTAGAGGATATATAATTGGGATAATAATTGAAAGGTGTTTTCTGAAAATTAGATCTAAAAGGCCCAGAAGTCACTTGGGCTTCAATTGTTAGCAATAAGTTTATACGTCCTATAAAATATTAGTGCATGTTTATATGTCAGGTACATTTTTAATTCTCTAACTTAAAGCAAACTTGTATTTTGCAGAAACAGCGCAAGACATCCAAAAGGTAAGCTCTATCATATTTCTTATTTTGAGACACCATTTATAGGTGCCCTCTCCTGTATATCTTTTCCCAAGTGTAAACAATTATTTTACATTTTGGAAATTTGATATTTTACATTTACTTTACATTTTGAATTATTTATATTTGATGTAAGCAAAGACTCATTCTTATCAACTTCCTCTCTCCCCCCATCTCTTAGAACTAAGGCAATTATTTATTCATTCCTCTGCCCACCTCTCACCTCAGGAGCTGGAACCTTACCTTAGGCTGTAACACCTGCAGGGTACTAGCCTGAGCCACCTCACGCTGCCATGTGCCTCTGCCGGGTAGGACCAAGGCCCTGGTCTCCTGTGCATAACCCCCTCCTCAAAGCATCAGCCTTCGTTCAGGGGGCTGAGGAGCCCCCTTCTAAGAATATGGTTCTGTGGGTATAAGAGGTGTGATGATATACGACAGAAAGAAACTTTGCTACATCAAGTTTTCATTCTTCTTCCCCTGGTAAAAGGTTAGGAGAGGGGGAACGAGAGTGGTATGCTCTGTTGGAAGATCTATATCCAAATTTATTACCTGTGAAAACCAGGTGTTCTATCCTGACCTGAGTGGTTTGTCCACTGTGGCTACGGATCGGCTGGCTTACTTAACAATTCTTAGAGAACTGATCATTGTTCTCTATCTGTAAGGATGTGGCTATGAAACTGTCTCCCCATGATTCCACTTGCACCATGGCTCAGCACAGGGCCAAAGTGACCCTGTTGATAAAGGGTATATCTTTCAGTTAAGACCAATAAAATATCTAAAAATCAACAAAGTCTTATCTTTAAGTGATTTTCACAGCTCAGGGCATATGCATTTTTTTCAGGTATGTGTTTTTGTTTGGAAGCTTTTGAAACAATATAAATCTCTCCATCACGGAGGTCTGGAAATACAATCTCAAGAGCTTCTTAGAAACTTTCTACAATAGTGCTCAAGCCAAGTCCATATGGGGACTAACTAAACCTTATGAAATCTAAAGACAAGAGAGAACAAAAATACCAAAATGCTTTTTTTGGTGATAAAAATTTCATCTCCTAACAGTAATGTGTTGAATGAATACTAAATGCAGGGATGGCAGATTCACTGATTATTAGAGAGTTTATAATAGGAAATATTCCTTAATAATAGCTTAACATTTCTCCCAGAATATATATTCTGAGGCTATGTGTGCGTGTAGTCATTAAGCTCATATATAGGCTATGGATTAAGACATGAATTCAAATCCGTTTGTGCCATTTATAAACTGTGCAACTACAGGAAAATTGCTTAACTTTACTAGGACTTAGTCTCCTAATTTACAGAATTGTTATAGAGATTAAATGTAATATATATGTTTTAGAAGTGCTTAGTATAGTATTTGGCACAAAGCAAGTGTTCCATAAATGATAGCTATTGTCATTATTAAGTAGCCATAATACTGAGAATGTGGGGGAAGACAGAAAAAGTTCAGTGGCTCTGGTAAAATCGGGGTATCTAAATTACATGTCTCTATGTTGTGACCAGTCATATACTGATTATTTCTTAATCTAAGAGCTTCTTCAGTTCTCCTGACTTATTTGATGTGAATTTTCAGCTTCCAAAAGCTGTCTTCATTGCAACTGTAATTACCTTAAAAATATACTTCAGGCTGGGCACAGTGGCTCACGCCTGTAATCCTAGCTCTCTGGGAGGGCGAGGCGGGCGGATTGTTTGAGCTCAGGAGTTCGAAACCAGCCTGAGCAAGAGCGAGACCCCAGTCTCTACTAAAATTAGAAAGAAATTAATCGGACAACTAAAAATATATAGAAAAAATTAGCCGGGCATGGTGGCGCATGCCTGTAGTTCCAGCTACTCGGGAGGCTGAGGCAGGAGGATCGCTTGAGCCCAGGAGTTTGAGGTTGCTGTGAGCCAGGCTGACGCCACGGCATTCACTCTAGCCCGGGCAAAAGAGTGAGACTCTGTCTCAAAAAAATATATATATATATATACTTCAATATTAAAAATTCAGGTTTCCTAATTTTATGAAACCTCTAGAAATTTTCTGGGATAAGAAGATCTCAAGAAGGATTTCTTTTGGCTACATGAGAAACATGAAATCATTTTGTTACACTTTGAAAGTGTTTTGTCATAATTTAACTAGTTAATAAATAATAACTTGTTTTACTTTATAAAAAGTAGTTACTGGGTGCCTATATTTTTATGAACATTATACCAGTGCAGTCTAAGGTGAAAAGGAAGAGATACTAAAAAAAAGAAAAGAAGATATTGAAAGCAATAAATATTATATATAAATACTGTGTATGTATGTGTGAAGAGAAATAAATGACTAATTGAATTTTTTTTAAGTTTTAATAGAAAAATAACATTTAGGATAAAATTTTATTCTTCTCTATTCCTCTCTTCCCTCCCTGAGAGATATTCCAATCAATATGTATCCCAGTTTCATTGACAAGTGATGAAAAGTTCTTCCTAACTTGACATTTCCAATAGGTGACTATAGTGTTTTGCTTAGAAAATATGTACCTGGTATTAATTAGTTTGAACAATCTTAACCCTTTCAACTCTTGAAGCTAATCCTTCTACCTACAGGGTAGTGTCAGAGGGTCATCCACTCCCGTCTGCACCACTGAGCTCCATCAAGGAGGGTTCCAAGCTATAAAAGACCCCATTGTTTTCTTTGATTAGAAATCATTAATGTCACTCATATTTTACTTCCTAACAGGAAACTAAATGTTACTTAATTAAATGTATTTTGAAAGAAAGTAAAAATATCATTAGCTCATCAGTGGATTAAATTACATTTTTACAGCAAAGACTTTGCCTAGAATCTGTAAACCAAGGCAATGCTGGCTGGGTTTGGGGTGGGCCTGCAGGTGTAAGGGAAACCCTGGGGGTATGTAGTCCAGTCACCCGCAGGAGCTTCTGGTATACCAGAAGCCATAAGACTCCTAGGAGTCGAGCACTGGGGCTAAGCCTCCTTAGAAAGTCTTAAATATAAACCAGATATCATGCCTTGAAACTATATATATTCATTGCATAAACAAATATGTATATTCATTTATGCAATGAATATTTGCCAATTGCATACCACAGTTATTTGAAGTATCTAAGAGTTTTCTGTATTTAGCTGATATCCTGCTTTTTGGGGCAAGGGTTTTGGGGTCAGACCTAGGTTTGAGGCCTAGACTTCACTACTGAGTAAGTAGAGCAACTTACTGAATCCTTACGAGCCTAGATTTCCTTTCTGTGAAACTGGTACAGTCATATCTAATTCACAGAGTGTAAATATTGAGTTTGGAGAATGTCTGCACATTGCCGAGCCTAATTTCTAAGTACTAATTAATTGTTGTCTTTTCTGCCCCTTCGCAAAAATGCGAAGTGTTTTTCAAGTCAGTTAAAATCAACACTTTCTCCTGATCATTTCCTTAACGAACATCACAGTCTAGTGGCAGAGGCAATGTGTACACACATTTAGGAGAAATTCCTAAATGATGTATCGTCTCCATATTTTGTCACTCAGTTGGTAAGTTTCTCTCTTCCTCAGGTTTCCAGGGAGGAAGGCTCTCCCCAGCTGACCTCCGCACGGCCAGCTGCTGCCCAGAGGAACAGTCAGCCGAGCAGCTCTGCCACAATCGGCATGTTTCGTGGGAGTGGAACCGTCAGAAATATCTGGACGGATCACCAGATCAGGCAAGCCTTGTTTCCCAGCCAACGGTCCCCACAGGAGAACGAGGATGACGAAGATGACTATCAGATGTTCGTGCCATCCTTCTCCTCCTCAGATCTGAACTCTGCCCGACTGTGTGAAGACAGCACTTCGAGTCGCCCTTGCAGCTGGCACATGGGACAGATTGAGTCCACAGAGACGCCCAGCTCTGGTCACAGGGTCGTCAGGCGGGCCAGCAGTGCTGGTGAGAGCAACACCTGCCCTCCTGAAATAAGAATTAGGGACAGCGATGGCTCTCAGTACAGCCCCCGGAGGGAACTGCAGAACAGCCCCCAAACAGAAGAACAGGAGGGACTGACGCCCTTTGGGTCGTCTATAGAGTTAACGATTGATGACATAGACCACGTCTATGATAACATAAGTTATGAGGACCTAAAACTTATGGTTGCGAAACGGGAAGAAGCTGAATCCACTCCCCTCAGATCAAGCAGGGACTCCGTTCGCCCCAAGAGCACCCCGGAGTTAGCCTTCTCAAAGAGGCAAGCTGGCCACAGTCAGAGCTCTCTGCACACACAGAAAGATGGAGGTCTCACAGGTCGGGAGGCGTCCAGCCAAAGCACACACGAACTGCAGGTGGTTGAAGAAAACATCTATGACACTATAGGGCTCCCAGATCCCCCATCACTGGATTTCAAGTGCAACAGCCTAAAGCGTCCAAAGAGGAGCACCTTTTTGGGTCTGGAAGCCGACTTTGTGTGCTGTGACAGTCTGAGGCCATTTGTTTCCCAAGACAGCCTCCAGTTCAGTGAGGACGAGATGCCTCACCATCAGGGTACCTCTGATAATGACTATTTGAGCCTGCTGTACAGCTCTTCCAGCTGTAACTTGTCTGTCGCTGACAAGCCTACATCTGATAAACTGTCTGAAGAAGTAGATGAAATCTGGAATGACCTGGAAAATTACATCAAGAAGAACGAAGACAAGGCCAGAGACCGTCTCCTTGCAGCATTTCCTGTGAGCAAAGATGACGTGCAAGACAGGCTGCACGCTGAGAGCTCCCCCGCGCTGGGCCGGGACACGGCACACTCCGCATCCACGTTGTCACTGCCCGGGAGCCAGGCTTTCCTGGCGCCTGTGAAAAGCAGGGCCGCGAGAGTCAGCCGGGCCAACTACCCATTCGAAGAAGACCTGATTTCTAGAGAAGGCTCCTTTATGAGTCTTAACCGGCTCTCTCTGGCCAGCGAGATGCCTCCTGTGGACAACCCGTACGACCTGGCCAGCAGTCTGTCCCAAACAGACCCAGAAAACCCTGACCCAGGGATGGAGGCCACAGATAAGACAAAAAGCAGGGTTTTCATGATGGCTCGGCAATACAGCCAGAAGATCAAGAAGGCAAATCAACTTTTAAAAGTGAAAAGTCCGGAGTTGGAGCAGCCACCGGCCAGTCAGCATCCAAAATCCGTGCACAAAGATCTGGCAGCCATCTTAGAGGAGAAGAAGCAAGGAGGGCCTGCCATTGGTATGTTCACTGCTTTTCTTCCTTCTCGAAATTAAGATGTGAGGGTGGTTCTCAGATTCTAAATGTCCTTAGAATGGATACACCTGTGAGAACACTGATATTCAAGCTTTACTATCTCAAAGACACAGATAAAGCCATTACTAACCTTTTCTCACTTCACACCCACTGAGTTATGCAGGTCGTAGCATGATTTGGCCTCAGAGGGTTTCGTTGCACATGTAACATTGTCACGACAGAACTGATATCTTAAGAAAAGTTTCTCCAAGGTAACCTAAAGTGTGAAGAAAAGCAATCAGTTTGTATTTGTGATATCTCAAGCTTTTCCCTGTGTTTTGGTAATTTGTTAGGAGGTGGAATAGCTTGTGTAATCTTTTAATGTGTGGCAGCCTATAGAATGATTACTCCTTGCTTCAGAATTCTGACAAAAATGTCTACCTCTGCTAACAAAGACCAAAAAGAATCTTCTTTGCGCTTTACTTAGTTGTTCACACTGTAACTCAGTTGTTTTCTCACGTATTTCGGTTACTACTCAAATTTTTAAAATAGCTGCTGTAATGCATTTAACACCATCTCATTTGGTATTCTCATATATGCTTCCAAGAAGTTTAATAATTCAGTCAGACTTCCTCTGAGTGGGCATAGCTAAACCAGGATCGTAGTGTGAAATTGGTAAGATCCAGGCCTACAGGAATGACATGTTCATGGTTTGACTGGTTTTTTTTTTTTTTTTTTTTTTTGAGACAGAGTCTCACTCTGTTGCCCAGGCTAGAGTGCCATGGCGTCAGCCTAGCTCATAGCAACCTCAAACTCCTGGGCTCAAGCGATCCTCCTGCCTCAGCCTCCCAAGTAGCTGGGACTACAGGCACGCGCCACCATGCCTGGCTAACTTTTTCTATATATTTTTAGTTGTCCAGCTAATTTCTTTCTATTTTTGTAGAGACGGGGTCTCGCTCTTGCTCAGGCTGGTCTTGAACTCCTGAGCTCAAATGATCTGCCTGCCTTGGCTTCCCAGAGTGCTAGGATTACAGGTGTGAGCCACCGCATCTGGCTGGTTTGACTGTTTTGAAGGCCAAAACTTTTAAAACCAATCTCAGGGGAAGAGCATAAGACTGAATAAAGCATGTGACTGTCACGGAAGTAAAAACCTGAGGGTGGTGGTTCTCACCTGAGGAACTTGTACCTCCAGACCCAGAGAGATTTCTGGGCATGGGCCTAGGAATCTGCATTTTAAAACAGTGTGGCCTTTCCATCATTATTTTAAGAAATTCTGCCCTAGATTTTCTGACAAAAGACTACCTGTCAGTGTCAAATGAGAGGAGTCGATTCTCAAATGAAGTAAAAACTGAATGAGTTAGTTTCAGGACGGGTCCAGATAACCCGCTTCATCAGGACACGCACATTGGGACAGGGTGATGCCACTAACCTCCTTTCTTTGGAATTGACTTATCTACCTCCATGGAAGCCAGAGAATGGGAAGGGATGTTGAAATCCTAAATGAATCACAAATAAAAAGACAAGAATCTGTAGAGTTTTGTTTTAAGTTTGAGAGTATTTCAGAATTGTCTAAAGCTTTAATCTTCAGTAAAATTTCTTAATGCATAGGAGCAGTGAAGCCCTGGAATTGATGCCTGAAGGATTATAAAGACTCTTTGAGTTCTTCCTCGTCTTCTTTTTAATCAAATAAAGGTTAATAGTGATTTTTGTATGCATGTGAGAGAGATTTTTCTCCTTGCAATAATGTGCTGCAAGTAATTCATGTCCCTTTTCCGATGCTAGTGTTGTTAAGCTGGCTTGTTGTTAAACTTAGAGAGTATCTGAGTTCCTGCTGCAGAAGGACTATTTTTGGGCAGAGGGCATAGATGGCCTCAGAGTTGTATGTTGGCCATTGCAACCACTGACTGAGTGTGGGCTGGGGCTTCTCAGAATAAGAGAAGATATGATACAAAGGTTTCTGATGGTGACGGATCATGCCTGCAGTAGGATCACATATAATAAAAAGTATAATAGGAATCGCCTGGGCCAGGTTGTTTTGAATATAGACCATCTGCTAATAGGCAAAACTCTAATCTTGATAGAAGCATGTCCTTCCATACCAAGTCATTAGAGCCTACAGCTACCTTGAATAGTCTTTTTTACCCACCTTTTAAGTGTTAAATGATTCCACAGTGGGGTTTCTGTTGCTTCCTCTCACTTTTGGTGGTTCTTTTTGCTTTGCCTGCTTGTGTCATCTTGGGATCCCATAGGATCTTTCCTCAGCTTTGCATCTGGGTCCTCTCTTGACATGGTGGGCTACTATCGAAGTTCTCCCCAACAAAGGGGAGGAGATCTCTCCAGAGTCATCTTCTGAGAGCGCAGGAGCACGTCCCTAGGGCCTGCCATCTCTCAGGACCTGACCTTATATCCACGCCTCTTCCATCCGAGTGATCGAGACCTCTTCCTGTGCCCACGAGGCTTTCCATCAGTTGACATGATGACTCCTTTTCTCTCTCTTGTTTATCTGGGCACAGGACGTCGTAGTCGAATGGACCGATTCTCCAGACTTCTTCGTATGGGCCTTGCCACTTTGCCAGGAGCTTGCTCTCGGTGTTGTGCGGAAGGAGGAGCACCCTATTCACCTGCTGAAACTCTCGAGCACCTTTATTGAACTCTCTAGCCGGGGTCTACAGGCCCCGGGTCAGATTTCCGCCTGTAAATCATTCAACCAGGTCTAGTTCCTCCCACATTTTAGAGCTTGTTGTAGTCACTGGCCATTTTGTTCCATCAGACCTCCCTCCTAATAGTTTTTGAGACCAAGGAGGCCTTTGGGTTTCTGGTTTTTTGGTGACGTTTCACGTGGGAGAAAACTCCATGTGGGCTTGAGGAATTTTCCTCCGTGTGGAAAGTAGGGAAGGCACAATTTTATGCTTCTGTCTATGTCTCAGACAACATTAGAAACATTGATTTTAATCCTCTGTCTTGAAAACAGCATGTGTGATATTTCCCTTGGCAAGGATTACTTCAGATTTTTATCTGGAATCATAAGAATCCAACTTTCAAATCTTCAAAAAAAGGAAATAAACCAGAGACATCCCTGAGATTGTCATGTAACGATCATGTATGTGTTCTATAAAGACTGTTAATACCCGAACTAAGGATATGGGGGAACCTTGATCCAGCTAACACTAGGCTTTTTAGGCTAGAGGTCATCTGGGGCTGGCTGTTCCCTATACGTCTGGCTGGTGGACTCTATTTAATCACAGCTGATGCTCTGGCAACTTGTCTTTTGTTCACATTGGCATCATACAAGTTCTAGACTCTTAGAAAATCAAGGTGAAACAAAAACTTAGATAAGCACAGTATATTGTCTAGTGAGATTCTTTTTAATCAAAATTGATAAATGATCTGCTCTGTTCCCCAAAGAAACTGTGTGCCCATTAAAAGTCATCTGTAGGAAGCATTTTAATCCAAGGCTGTCTTCCTGCTTCCCCTTTTCCTGCTATGACCTGATTTCCAGGCTGCCTTTCCAGCCTCAGTGGTATGGTCCCAGGAAGAGCACATCTATTTTTAACACTATGCTTAAAGTAAAAGGGACTGAAAAAACTGAGTAATGAAGTAGTTCAGAATAACTTCTGTTTAGAACTAGGTGCTCTATGGGGAGTTCAGCAAAATGCACATCAATGTTCTCCAAGATCAAAAGCTCAGAGACTAGCTGCCATAATAAAGTAACCTACATAAAACAATCAGCAATGCAAATTGTGAGTCTGCACGCGTGTGCCACATAGGTGCACACTACGTAAGACTTCAGAGAAGGGAAATCAGTTAGAAAAGCATTCCAGGACAGAATAGGATAGGACTTAAGAGGATCTTGAGAGATGGGCAGGAGTTGATTAAGCAAAGGAAGACGCGAGTATGATATGGAAGACAAAGGCATGAGAAATACTCTGGATATTTTGGATTATACAGGGTTTCGAAGTATCTGGGCTAAAGTCAAGAGCTGATTGTTCTTACAAGACTGTAGGGTTGGAGTTTGATACTGGAATAGTTCGATGAAAGTTTTAATTAGTTTTGCTGCATTCGCCAAAACTGTCATTTTTTTGGAACCTTGTGAAAGTTCAGGGCCTTCCTGACTGAGCTGTGGGATATGAGACTCGGGGCTGTAGTGTGTGTGAGAATGGCTTGGAGAGGCCATCTGCTTTCAGGCAGGACTGCTAACCCACGACTGTGTTAAATGTCCAGCTGTCTTTCCGTTTCCTAGTTAATGAAACATTATAGGTTTGGGGATGGTTAACATAGGTACACTGGTGTCCGTGTAGACTTTTACACTCTTTCTCTTAAGGTAGTGGTCAATCTTCGTTGGTATTAAGAGTCTTTACTACGCCATTTAAGGAGTAATTTCTCAAGCTTTTACTAAAAATTTCAAAACTAATCTCTGTCCTTCCAAGGAATTTAGTGTTGAAAATCCAAAAGATCTGAATATAGATCGGTAATGAGAAGTTAGACTATTTACCTTGATTGCAGGGAATTGGGGGTGAGGGAATTGAGGGGGTTGCAATTAAAAGGCACATGGTAACAGGTTATTTTCTCTCCTCATAGAAAGTAGACTAAAAAGAAATGGCAGAAACTCAACTAAATGAGTATTTAGTTTAAATTCAAGGATTAATTTAGTAATAACAGGTCATTAAAAATATAAATAGCCTAAAGAAGAAAACATGTCACCTGCCAGTTGTCATATATGGGATAGATTCCCTTTACAGAGATTATGTCGATATGGTCTGAGCAGTTTATGGGACACATGGAGTTCTTTGATTCTAAGGTGGTCGTGTGGGTACCTGCATTGGGGAGGGGTACAGCTCTTGAAAGTGACATCTTTGGGCTCCCACTCCTAAATCATTGCTGGCCCAAGAGAATCCTCTCTGTGTATCATGGTTTGGTTAATGTCTTTAGAAATATCTGTGCCTTGGAGTGGGGCCAAGAAGAAAATGGCCTCATACCTTAATTTTAAGTGGCAAAAGCTTTTGTGGAAGTTTAACCGTCAGGTCCTATTCTTGAAGCAATACTAGAGAGCATTAGATTATTGAGCATACACGGATGGCTCATCGTTAATGTCTTGGCGGCGCAGGCTTTAGTGCTCAGCTTCTTGGGGATGAGAAAGGAGATGTGAGTTAGTGAGTACAGGTGGCTTGGTGTAGTACTGGAGGGGAGGATCTCCCCTAGATATTGGTCCTCCAGACAGTGGCAGTGGAGGGCTGCCTGGAAGCAAGAAGCGCAGGAACAGCCACCAGGAGCAGACTCCTCTAGAAGTAGTTGTCTGAGAGCAAGGAGAGTGGTGAGAAGGCAGGGTAGCCACTGCACTGGGTATTGTGGCCATGATTCTTTTAATGACTACTTGAGTTATTTTCCATTGACCAAGGCTTAAGTGCTGACTTTCTTGTTTTTATTAACATGATGCCTGTTTTTAGCACTGATACTGCTTCATGCTTATAAAGAACACTAGAAATTTGCATTACATGCAGTGGGCACTTGCAGACCTGTTGTTGAGATAACATAATGCAGAATTAGATCAAATTAAATGAACTTTTAGGTAGCACTTGTATCTGCATTAAACCATGGATTATTAGTTTGTGTTGCTTAGTGTTCAATGATTACTCATCCTCAGACGTCACTTTAGCCCTGTCTACTATTCAAATTTTTTTTAATGTGTTGGTTAGAATGTTATATTCTTATTTTTAATCTATGTAGGAATAATCCCATGTGTATTTATTATTTCAATGTTTGCCTTCCAGGTGCCAGGATTGCTGAGTATTCCCAACTGTACGACCAGATTGTATTCAGGGAGAGTCCCCTTAAAATTCAGAAGGATGGCTGGGCCAGCCCTCAAGATCCCTCCCTCCTCAGGTCTGCGTCACCTTCCCAGGTCCGACAGGGTAGCGAGAATTGGCTCCTGCATTCAACCTATAGTAATGGAGAGTTAGCAGATTTCTGTCCCCAGCCAGAGCAAGACTTGAGGTCAAGATATCCCACTTTAGAGATCAGTACAAAAAGTACACCCCGACAATTATCTGCAGCTTGCTCCGTGCCTTCTCTTCAAACCTCTGATGCTCTGCCGGGTCCCACGCAGAGATGCAGCGTGATAGTCAGTCAGCCCAACAAAGAGAACTTGTGTCAGGGCCATCTTTACAACTCTTTAGGTCGGAAAGGAATGGGTGCAAAATATCAGCCCTATAACAGGTCCCAGTCATCTTCCTCAATCCTGATAAACAAATCAATGGACTCCATCAACTACCCTAGTGAAATGGAAAAGCAGCAGCTGCTGTCGCTACACAGAAGTTCCAGGTGCGAGAGTCACCAGAACTTGCTGTCAGGTATTGCTGACTCACAGCAACAGGGCACTGAAAAACTCTCAGATCTCACACTCCAAGACTCGCAGAAAGTTTTGGTAGTAAATAGAAATTTGCCCCTAAATGCCCAAATAGCGACACAGAACTATTTTTCCAATTTCAAAGAGACTGAAGGAGATGAAGATGACTATGTGGAAATAAAGTCAGAAGAAGATGAGGCAGAGTTGGAGCTATCTCATAATCGGAGGAGGAAATCTGACTCGAAGATTATGGATGCTGACTTTCCGGATAACGTCTGCAGCAGCAACACATCTTATTCTTTGAACAGCGCGTGCACTCCCCAAAAGCCAATAAACAGCAAGCTGGAGCTTTCACCATATCTGACATCATGCAGTGATTCTGACAAACTGAGTGACTATCTTTGGAGGGGGCCATCTCCCAGTCAACAAAATATTGTACAGTCTTTAAGGGAAAAATTTCAGTGTCTCAGTTCAAGCAGCTTTGCTTAAGGTTTTAGTAGCAGCTGCCTGAATTAGCTTCTTATTCTCCTAAGAACTATAGATACTGATGAGGTGTTTTATATGTACCAGATTAAAACCATTTTGTAATAACTAGAGATGTAAAATATACTTTCTTTTACAGCACAACTTTTTGCAATGGCTGATGATACAGCCGGGATCGTACTGTAGCAAATGTCAGCATCTAACAGTATATTTTCTGATGCTGATTGTCTTCCTGTTTCCTGTAAGTCAACCTTACTTGAAAATTTTTAGGCTTTTTTTTTTTTTTTTTTAACGTGATGGCCACCTTGATGTTTTTTCCCTTATCCTGACAAAGTGCTTATACGATAAGAAATGCAATAATCCTCTCATATTATCCAGAAGCCCCAAGTAGTTTTATCCTGTGACTCAAAGGCAGCAAGGAGACTTTTTCACATTGTTTAAGAGGAAAGGACAGGAAAGCTGTTCAAAGAATTTTTGTTACATCTGTGGCAAGACCTTAGAATAATGTGAGTCAGAGATCTCTCATTGGAGCATAGTCTGCAGTGCCCATTTTAGAGTTTCCACGCCAGTATTCCTACATCATTTCATCTTCACGTAGAAATTGTGTGACTATTGAAAATTAAAATGTAGCAGGACCAATTTGCATTTTGTTTTTTAAGCAAAAACCTTTACCTGTATTCCTGGACAAGGCCTGGAGAATGCTCATTGTGTTGAGTCTATAATTTCTGGGATGAAATGAATTCTTTCCTTAATGGCTTAAAACCAAGGTCAATAAAATGCAAATTCACTTAGCTCTTAGAAAAGATAGGATGACTTCTGGGAACATACAGTTGAAAGGAGGAAAAAAAAAAAACCCAAAACAAAGACCTCGATGGCATTGTGCGTGCCTGTCTCTAATCAACACAAAGTGAACCAACCGTAAGCTAAAGTAAGACAAAGCAGTTTAAAGCTACCTTTCCCAGAGGAGTTTGTCACATGCACCTTCCCGAGTTTTGGACTCTGCCAAATGGGCTACTTGATCTTAGCTCTGAGGAGTCGCTGGCTGCAGGAATAGGGCAAGAATTAATTTTCTGAACCATACATAACATGGAGCCTTTTTTCAATTCTTTTGAGGCACATAAAAGAACAGAATCTTTTGGTTACTAGGTTCTAATATCTTTTAAGTTGTGATTATAGTCTTTATACAGAATTTCATTGTGATGCTATATACTACTCTCACTCCTTATGAAAGGAACCCCCCCCCAAAAAAAAAACAAAAAATGTGAGTAAAAAGCAAAATCAGAGAAGCTAAAGAGAAAAAGGCAGATTTATTGCTACCTTATAAAAATATGAGATTAAGACCGTGGTGGTTAATACAGCAGAAATGTTTTCTCAAATAGTGGCCTTTGTGTTCTCATTTTAAGTAGTGGTACATTCTGTGGCCCTTCCCCACCCTCTGTTTCCATTTTAAAAGATAAATACTTTGTGTAGGGAAAGGGGTCAGGGTTTCTCATTTAAAGGTAAGCAATAATATTGAATAAGTGACATCATAATTCTTTTCCTCTTTTTAAGTCCTATGCCTTTTTTCTTAACTGTAAAACATAAAATGTGACCATTCTTATTTTACAAATAGGTACCTAAGGCATTTTTTCTTTTTAAATAACAACCCAAGTTTATTGCTTCTGCACACTACTCTTACACCTTATAAAACAAAGTCCATATTGAATAACATGGTTCTGGAAACATTCCTCCTTTCACTGCCTTCGTTTAAACATGGTGTGAGTTTTCAAGATTAAGAAGTACCAAAAAAGAAGCATTATAAGAAAGTATGTTGTTAGACTTGCTAGAGGTATAAGTGTATTTGTATTACCTATAAAAAACAGCTACCTGACTCTTGCCCCAGGAATTGTTTCCCATTTTGGCTTTTTAGTTTATATGACTCCAATTCTAATAGTCCATAATAGACACTGTTGTCTGACTCTCAAAAATTATTCTCCGCACCAGTGTCTTGTACGACTTTGATGTCACCTATAGGAATATACCCCACTGCACAAAGGTGGATGTCGTACTGTATAAAATATCTATGTGGTTCTTAGGTTCAAGGACAAATCCGTAGTTTTATGGATCACTTCTGTCGGCCAGGACACAGGTTTTGAGAGCTGTGTGTGTATAATCATGTTTGTATTTTTCCCCAAAGTTATCAAATAATTGCTTTTGTTTAAAAATAGTTTCTTTTAGACGTGGGGTGGGGATGTATATAATTGGGGGGAAAGTTACATGTACTTAAAATTATGTCAAGTTCTTATTAGTTTCCTGTACTGAAGGTTCATTTTTTTTAATAAGTTCACTTTTCCACCTACTTTATTCTTTGTGGGGAAAAAAATGCACCTAGAAAAACATAGTTTAAATACTGTATATAAGATAATAAAAGTTAGTAATGTCCACTATTTAATAAAGTTTGTAAAGTACAAAGTAAATTATAGTGTGAATTAATGTATTTATTCTAGTACATCAAGATTTTTCCAGACTACATTTAGCTACATGACCTTGTCTTTACTATGTTTCTGTAGCCCAAGACAGACTGTTCTGTATCTTTGGATTACTTTTGAAATACTGAATTTAGTGTCTGGGATGATTTTTGTTTTCTTGATAGGCAGTTAAATTAGATCAATCACTAAATTACCTTTTTTAAAAAAAACTAACAGAAGACATCCTTCTAACTATTTCATTATTGAGTTGAAAAATTAATGTAAAAGTTTTTGGCACAAATTAAGGTTTTTGTTTTTTTTTTCATTTAACTGCATTCTGCATTTTCTTTGATAGACAAAAATTTTTATGGGAACAAATGCATGATAATATAAATTGATAATCAGGGACATTTTCTAAAGCAATTCCCTTTCCAAATATAAGCACAAAGCCCTACCCCATTATAATGAAAGTGTAGGTCGCCTAGCTTGCCTCACACAGAGGAAAACAGCTTCAAAATTTTTCTTTAGAATGTTTGGGTTGTGAAGAGTTTCTAACTTCATATTGAGGAGCCCTGAGATCTGTTTTGCCTTGAGGTTGAAAATGGATGGGTTTGCTGTAAGTCTTGAAAGTTCAAGTTAGAGAAGCAGATGACAGTAGAACTGCCCCGTGTAAATTCTATACATAAATTCTTAGGGGAAAGAAAAAGGCTTAATCCGGTTTGTGATGCACTATAAATACAGCCGTTGAACATGAATATTTAATAAAATTCGTCTATTGTCTTTTGTGAAAAAAAATCTCTATTTTGAAGGGCAAATGTTAACAATACATCAAGAACTCTGACATCCTCTAATGTTATTAGGTTGGTACAAAAGTAATTGTGGTTTCAGACTGAATTTTAAAACATAACTTTTTCTATCTGGATAGTGGTAACTATATCACCCGGAAAGGGATTACAATAAAAGAAACCACTTCAACTTTTTTACCAATCTATTTATATGTCTTCGACTTAAACCTTGTCCTATTCACAGATAAGATCTGAAGCTTTCTGTTATGTGCTTATTCAATGCTTTTGTCAAAATATGTATATGAAGACATAAGCATTCTCTCACATTTAGTTTCTCATATTTTTCTTTCAGGTAGTTTAGAGCGTGGAATTCCAAAGAAACTGTGGAATTGTGCTGCCTTTAAAAGTTTCATAAATGCACAATGATTGCACAATCCATATAACTGTAAATAAAATTTGGTGTTTGGTTTATAGAATATTTGAAAGCTCACAGGAGATTCACAGATTAAAAGTTCCTTTTTTGGAAGAATATTCTAAAATTCAGCATGTGCAACCATTGTCTGATTTGATCTTTGAAGTGGAAATGTTTTTACCAGGTCAGCACAGTGCCGGCAATTTGTAGGTGTCTAGTACATGTTTAATGATTGAATAAGTAGATTTTAAAACTTGTTTGAGCCCAAAGCATGAGTAAAACACATTCAAATCTGAGGTACAGAGGAAGGAAATATAACAGCAGCAGCTAACTTGCTTTTAAAAATTCACAGTATCCTCAGAAATCCACTGTCATCTGACTTTTTTTAGTGCTGCTCTTTGGTAGGTCGGGCGAAGGTGGCATTTTGAAAGGACTCTGTCCCTTTTCCACTTCATGGCTGATGGAATTCTAGAGGCGTTTATTCTGCAGGTTTCCAGTAACCTGTCAAACTAAGCATCTACATGGGCACATGAGGGTAGGACTATCTTAGCCTCCTCAAAATTCCATCTAGCCCGAATGCCTGTTGGAATAGCTGCTTTTGATGATGTGATGAGAGCACAGAGCACCCCACTATGCAGGTGCCAGGTGCTGGGTTAAGGCAGGTGAGATGGAGGGAAACAGACCAGAATGCTGACGTTTGGTGCCAGAAGACAAATTTGCCTACTTTACGATTGTGATGCATGCCCACGGGCCAAGTCCACTTTATGTATCTCTGAAAAACAACATAGCTTTATTTTCCTGACAGTGGCTTATTCACATGTATCATACAATAGGAAAGGAAGACAAGCAGGCGGTTCCACCTCATTAGTTCTAAAACCATGCTTATTCGGCCCACTGTAAAAGAACAGAGCTTGGATGGTGATCAAATCATCTGCTCTATGGGGCAAATACAAACCCCCAAATGTCCTCCTGTTTGTATAGCGATGTATGGCTCACCACAGAGTTCTCATGGAACCACCAAACAAGAACATGGGGTAAGCAGATTCCTTCTGCAGACCAGTTTTATCAGAGGCTGTAAACTGCTGGCCCAGGGGCTGAATCTGGCTTGTGCAACTTTAAAAAGGCTTAAACATAAATCCAAATTTCCCGCTTAAAAAAAAGACCTATCCTTTTTGGGTCTGTATTCTGGCGAGGCGATGCTGTAAGACATGAGGGGGGATCTAAAGATGAAAATCACCCTAAAAGGGGGCAAACTGCCTGCACCTTTAGGGGAGCCGGTTCCTTTGTTCTCCACTATGGACTTGGTCAGCAAACTTAAAGCAGCCAGGGAGCACTTGAACACACATTTTGGATAGAAAGTAAAGGCTCTCCTGCCGGTGTGGGGACCAGATG